TTTTCAGGTTAAAACTGATTTTGGAATTCATATGAAAATTAAGATCCTGCTGCTTTTGTTACAGGGTTGTTGTTTTTTTTAAATGTTTTTTTAGTGCACTTCCCTCTGCACACAAGCTTTATGGAGATATTGATTCCACTTTCCAGCAGGACTCGGCAACTGACCATGCTGCCCAGTGGACCACTACACAGTTTAATGATTGTGGTAATGCAAACCCACCAGCTCTTAACCCTACAGAGAATCTAAGAGAGTTTTCAATAAGAAGAAGAGAAACGGGAGACCTGAATCTGGATATTGATTCAGCTACAAGCTCATTATGTTCCTGCCACCCGACTTTGACGCAGCAATTTACTCTTCATAAAGTTCAGATATTTTGTTTTGTGCATTGGGTTTTACTTCACAATTCTCTCGTGGTTGTGGATATTCCTGTCGCATGAACACATTTTGTCCTTCCACTAAACTTTCCAATGATGACTTAGCTCTGTGTGGACAGGCTGCTTCTTTATCAATGTCCATTTCTGGCTTACCGACTTTGTGGAGGCATATAATGACTGTAACTACAAGTGTGCAGTGTTTTAAATGGGTGTGTTCCATAGTATTAACATTGGTCTTATACGACAATAAATTATTTATACATATGAAATGTTGAACCGACTTATGTCCGAAAATATACTTTTAAATTTAGAGATGCGCCTTTAGTTATTTCTTCACGTTTTTAACGACATTTTACCCAATAATAGTAATTAAACTATTCAAGTTTTTGTTTTTATGACGGTGGGAATAAATAACCTTTCAAATCAAAACTCACTTTACGTGCTAAACCACAAACCTTGGAGCGATCAGCCGCCGTGGAGCCGAGCGACGCCAGAGTCATGATGCCGGGCCAGTAGGCGCTGAAGCCCCCGGACAGCCCGAAAACCACCGCGGCTGCAAACATCAGCTTGAGCGGAAGACCGAAAATGACCACCAGGAGCAGGCCGAGCCTGGACAGCAGGTACCCGCTCAGGGGCACCACGATGGGCGCCTTCCTCCAGCCGCGGTCGCTGAGGCTGGCCAGGACCAGCGCGGGTATGATGGGCGTTAACTTGATGATGAGGTTATAGGTCATGTAGAAGTTGGTGATGGCCGTCTGCTGGCTCTCCTCGCTGGAGTGACCGGGCTCGGTGATGTTGGCGGTCCTGTCCCTCACCACCATCTGCAGGGCGGTGTCGAAGAGAGTGCTGCCCAGCTGCTCCAGCACGATGATCGGCTCAATCTGCCGAAACACCGCGAAGGCTGCTTGGCACAAACTCGGCGTCGCCATGACTTTGGGTGTTGGACCAACTGGTCGCTGCTGCTGTTGTTGTTGCTGTTCTATGAAAATCACAAGAATGAGTCGCAGGAGTGAACTGCCTCCGACTGGGAGGGACTCTGCCAGTGTTCATTTCCTCATCTGTTCGGTGCGATCTGAGAGTGCTTCACCCGATGTTCCCTAAAATGCAGGAACCTAACTGATTACTCATCAGTTGAAGTGTTGGTGATCAGTGCCAAAAAAACAAACAAAAACCTTTTAGGATTTTTCCCAGCATTTTCTGAGCCTTTTTATTCATGTATTGTTTCCTGAAGGTCCTCTGGGTGAAAGTTGCGACTGACAACAAATCACTAAATGTTCATTGCTACTTTCACAGGGCGACCCTCTACAAAAATATAATCTATAAACTTTCTCTAAAGTTTCACTGATATTTTCACCTTTTGACAAATGTTGCCTACGGGGAGCCTTGGGGTAAAAAAAAAAAAAAAAGACTGGTTTTATTGATTCTTCATTAAGGTTCCTGCCAGTTACCTACTGTCCAAAAACAACTAAAAATATGTTTTAAAACAGGTTTTAATTGACTTTAGAGCCTTTATGAGAATACATCTACAAGAAACCACTTATCTAACTACTTCTATTATAAAAAAGATGAAATTTTTACACTATAAAAGTCAGTGGCACGACTTTAAGACATGTGCCACTGGTTTTATTAACTGACATTAACACAGTATTTTGATCTTGTTGAAGTTCTCTGTTAGGATATAAACGATTCTGAAAGTGTGTTCACACCATCACTGCTCTAACCACAGGTTACATTCAAAGCTGGGTGTAAACCACTGACAAAAGGCTTTCGTGTCGACAGACTGAACTGTTATGTTCAACAAACGGCACCGTTTACTCTCAGTTTCTGTTTCAGTTTTTAAATGGGAGGCAGTTTAATAAACTTTCATTTGGTTAAAACACATAAATGAACCACTCCGACACCACGCAGGTCCAGGTTTTACTTTTAATGAGAAAATATCCATAATATGTGTAGTAGGAGTATACTGTGAGCCTTACATGTGCTATAAAATAACCAAGCAGATTATGAGCATACAAGTGGTTAACATGGGAACAGAGGTTATGTCGTATATTTAGCAAAAATATTACTGGTTTAATCACACACACACACACATACACACACGCTGACAGCGTGGGTCACACACTGACGCCTCTTGAGCTTCTAAAAGGAGAAAACTGAGCTACCAGCATTTAAAATGACAACTAAAACCATCTCTACACCTTGAGTTCAAACATATAAAGCGTCATCATAATAATAATATATAAATCACACAGTGCAACAACTCCTCTGTGTGTGCATGGGACTGATTGTGAGAATAATCACTGAAATTTGGGAGTTGATTGAAGATGATCGGAAAAAGTTCTTGCATGTCTGCAAATATTTATCCTCGTTTACCTACATGTGAATTGTTAAAGCTTAAAATGCTGCGCTGAAATGTTTATTTTATAATTATGTACTGCATATTGCTATAAAGGAAGTAAAGCAAAGGATTTGCTTGTAAGTAGTTGCAGCAACTGATATCACGAGGGCTGGAGAACAGGTTTTACCTGTTGTTTTTTTTTTTTTCCCCTCCTACTTGTCCTCCAGATTCTTTTCAACACCGCACTACAATTTATCTAACATCTCAGTTTGTGGGAAAAGGGACACAATTCCTTCCAAAAAAAAAAAAAAAGTAAAAGTGAAACATTAATAACATTAACTGAAGATGAAATGAACCGTTCAGGTTGCTACTGGCACTTTGATTCCACAGCAACAGCAGCTTTTTTACCTCACCCACTACAAGAGTTAATACAATCAGATGGTGGTGTGTGTGTGTGTCCTTCAGCTCATGTTCTCTAGAGCTCTCCTTGGAGAAGGTGACGGGTGTTTAAGTGTGTTTGGGGACACAGAGGTTTAGTCCCATGTTGAAAGACACTTGTGAGGGTCAAAGTGTGACCTTTGGTTTAAAGAGGTCACTTTATCCTCAAGCCTGCAACGTGGCAGAGAAAAGAACCTCACAGGTTACCTGGAAATAGAAATTTGACATTTTTTTTAAAAATGTAAAAATTAAAGATTATCTTGGCCTAATAATTAAGCATGTTCTCACAACACCACTGCAAAACTACCTACTATTTAAAGTCAATCACTGCAAAAACACAAAATCCTATCAAGTATTTTTGGTCTTTGCACAAGAACCTAGCTTAGCTTGCCACACTTGAAGTGAGAAAACTACTTTTCAGCATGATCTAGGATATTCAATTACATAATCCTTAATATTTATTTAAAAAGTACTAGTTCCACTGATTTTTACACTTAAAACAATACATTTTTCTCATGTATTAAGTGTACAAATCTGACACTAGAGCTTGTACTTTTTCATCTGCATTAAGAAACTGCTGACTTAAAACAAGCTATTATATCTTGCTTTAAAAGTTATGTGTAAGTTAGTTTCGTCACATTTCAAGTGTGAAAAAATATTTCCTACGATGCTGTGTTTTTGCAGTGAAGCTAAGCGATAAGTGCCTGGAGTTTTCTCCAGCTTTACGGACCGTAGAGTAACGGAGCACCTCCCTCCCCCACTAGTTGCTGCACATTTCCAGTCAGCTGGCTAAAAGCAGCTGTGTGTTTTTAGCCACAGCTCATTCTACTTACAAATTATGAAGACCGTAAGCGGAAAAACAAGACGAGCAGGGTGCAGGCTGAGGAGAAACGTAGTCGCTTAACATCAGTTCCTGCCGCTGCTCTGTGCTAGTTTCAGTTTGGGGGAAAAGAGTGCAAATCCATGCACACAATCAACACTTCTTAAATAGATTTAAGAGCTTTTTTCCCCCCCCCTCAAAATAAAAATTTGTTTTGGTATAACGACCTTTTTTTTTTTTTTTATACAAAACATTTTCAGTATTCCAAGTCAAATTGTATCCTCAGCCACATGTTCACACATTAGAAACACTTCTCTGTAATACATGAAACAACCTCTTACATCTGAAAGCACAGGTCAACGAAGCCAACTAAATTGAAGTAAGTGATCTTCAGAATATAAAACAAACACTTAAGTCTACCTTAAATCTTAAAAAATCTGTTAAATTTAGAGATTACAGACAAACTTTCAGTCTGATGTGGTTCCGTCTTCTCTCTAGGTCCTATTGAAGGTGAAGTGATACATATAGAAGAGAATCAAATACATCATACGCAGCAACTACTGATAGTCTAAGGCAGAGATAGTTTTTGCTATTTTTTTTTTTTTTTGTGTGGCAGATTTACTTACCAGCATTTAACAATCCAGGGATGCTGTCGATCCGGCACTTTAAATTTAATAAAGATGCTTAAACAAGTGTAGAAGTTCCCACCAACACTTGACAAAATGTGTGCACATCCTAAAACAACGTGGGTTTGAGAGTCAGTGGTGCCCTTTGGTTGAGTTCCTCAAAGACACTGTGGTCCTTCTGCAGCGTTGTAAAAGGTTCAAAAATGTCGGAAATGTCAAAAGTGTGTTCATGCTTTCTCTTGGCTTCGTCTTTCTTTCCACAAAAACACACGCACACGCGCACGCACGCACGCACGCACGCGCACACACACCTGGTTCTCTTCCTGTTGAGACTTCAGGGTTTTCTAAAACAACCGCAAGTCCATTCAGAAACTCTCTGGAAACAATCTTTACATCTTAGCTCTTAGTTCAATCATTAAACTGCAAATAGATAAAAAAAAAAAAAAAAAGACTGAAGTCACTCAGCGTCTACCAGGTTGTGGAAACCTCATCATCAAACCTCCGTAAAAACCCTTCTAACATGTCAGCTATCAACTATCAACCTCACCGTTACACCTTCAGTTCTCAGGTCCCTAAACTGATGCGTCTCATCTGGCATCATGTGATCATCAGGATACAGTTAAGCATAATAAATACTGGTTAATTTTCCATTCTTTTGCCCCCGTCATCCTCATCATCCCACTCTGTCTCCTTCTTCACAGTCCCTGAAAAGAGTTGTTCACTCTTCCTCCTCCTCTTCTTCTTCCTCCTCCTCCTCCTCCTCCTCCTCTCCTTCCTCGTTGGCATAGATACCGGCTTCCCACTTCAGCGCCATGTTGCTCTTCCTCCTGGTCATCCTTGTTGCCTCCAGAACCTGAAGTAGATACAATGTCCAATCAGAGTCGAGCTTGGTCTGAGCGAAGCTGTGAACAAGCTTTTACTCCAGCAAGGAGCAGCAAAGTCTTAAAATCTCACCACAGGGATTAAATTCTGACATGCAAGTTTTAAGCTAAACTCTGGGTAACGACTCTTTCTGCATTAATAATCTCCCAAAAAGGAACTTTAAATCACATCCATTCAAATAAATTTCAAGAAGCGACTTGAAAAGTATTTAACAACAATAAGTTTCTTGGAGAGAATGTTTGCTTAATTTTAACAGCTGAAGTCAATTATGTGTTCCTGTTTAAACTGTGGCCATTATCTGATTACATGCGAAGCTGTCGTTTCCAAATAAACAATGAAATAAAAGTCAATAAAAGTTTGCATGCTTCCTCTCTGTTTTGATATCACTTGTTGATAACTCAGGAATGCTGTTACTGTTGACTTTACAAGAAGACAGCTATCAAAACACTATTCTTCCGCTACATTAACGCAGAATCGTGCTTTTGGTGTCATAAAATTTAATAGCTATGGTTTCAGTGTACCCGCTAAACTGAAAGCTGTCCGGGGAGATCTGAGGGAAGCGGCTCACAATACACACTGAGAGAGTGAAAGGAAGCAGCGGCAGGCTCCTGTACTCCATTGCACAAGGTAAAAAAATACCCAAATTCTAAATATTTTTTTTTTATGATGGACAAAATAAGGCACATGGAGAAAATGACAGTTTTGAGAGATGTGCACACAATAAAATAGATATTTTTAAAACTTTGCTGCTCAAATTATAGCACGATGTACTAACAGTATAGTCTATTTAAGGACTGAATAATTATTTAAAATGCCATCATGGGGGAAACTAGTTGGGCACTTGAGACTGTATCAGGTAACATAAAGTGCTTTGATGCATCCTTGTTATTGGAGACTGCACAAGTGGCTTACAAAAGGCAAAATGTGGATGAAGACACATGCAGAACCAACACAACAAAACCGAACAATGCAGTAAGACAACAAGCAGACCTGGGATCAGATTTACACCCATGTATAAAATACATTGCTTTCTTAGCTGGAGGGACATGCCTGCAGTTATAAGTATCGAGACATTCAGCGGTTGTCTAACTGTGCATAACCAAATACCTCCATAGTTCAAAGACGAACAGGAGTGTGTGAGTTTTTCTGACCCAGGTCTGTTTGTAAGGGCGGTTAAGGGAGCGGCGAGATGTCGGGGCGTATTGAATACCTCAGTGGTTACTTCATTAGCCCGCAACAAATGTGCATACTGAGCGACCAGCAGGAGAGAAGCAACAGGACAGAAAAGTCAACACATGGTGTCATCATGAATAAAAGAATCGCAATTCATCACGTAGTCAAGGCGAATTCAGGTTAAGGAATGTAAAGAGGTGTTGCAGTTTGCAAACTGTTACTTTTGTGTGTCTTTTGTGGCGTATCTGCATCCTGTTGGGTCGTAAGCTGAATAATATGTGGGAACAGAAAGCCCCAACTTCAGTGACTTACTTTCACTTTGATTTTCACGCTTCAGACGGGGAATTTCCCCTTTTCTGTTAACCAGTCTAAGCTCATGCCAGCTGCTGACTTCATTAAGCACAACATGTGATGTCTGAGGTACTTTCTGTAAATATCTAGAGGTTTCACAGAAGAGCTAAAGCTCATTTATCCAAGGAAAAAACAAAGGAGGATGGGTGAAAGAGATTTGCACCCTCCATTCTGTAGTGTTGTGTTTGCTTATTTAAATCCTAAATGTTGAAATACTTACACTGTTGTCCTCCATCTTCTCTTTTCTCTTCACCTTGTGCGTTTCATAATCTTCCAGAAGCGTCTGCATCAAGTTTTTGGGTCGTGATCCTCCCGAATCCTCGCTGCCGGCATCAGACAGAGCCCCTTCTGAGGGGGAGGGGGAGACCGGCGGTGCGGGCCGAACTTTCTCAATTTTCCCTGAAAACCACAAATCAAAGTGACCTTACGTAATCAACGAGCTGCTTCCTTTTCAGAAAATTTGTTTATAGACCTAGTGTGCTGGAAAAATAGCCATGTCCCTTAAATTTTTTTGACACTATGTTAGGTAACAACAAGCATCAGCTGGAATTTCACATCACAGACAAATAAAATACAAAGTTGTGCATAACTGTGCAATGAAAGGAAAACAATAATATGCTAATGTAAATCTGAAAAGTCTGTTATGCCTTTGTAGTCAGTTAAATAATGGCAGAAGAACATCTGCTGCAACTGCAAGTGTTTTGGGGGATTTCTACCAAAGTTGTGTAACCACAGACATAAACTGTGTCAATTTCTATTCCAAAACAGTTCATTCTCACTCAGAGTGGATGGAAAGCACCTGGTAACATTACTTTTTAAATATTGCAACAGATCCTCAATTAGATTTGGATTTGAACTTTGATTGGGCCAATTAAATGCGAATATGTTTTGACAACTCCATTGTGCTGTACTTATGGTTGCCATCTGCTAAAACATGCAGCTCCGTTTTTCTTTGTGTTGATCCATCATAAAATCATATGGAACACACCGAATGTTGTGGTTTTAATGTGACAAGATGTCAACAACTTAAAGGAGTGACAGGTTCAAATTCTGTAAAAAAAAAAAAAAAAAAAAAAAAAAAAAAAAAAAAAAAAGTCCTACTAAGCACCTTACTTGTTTCATCAAAAAAAAAAAATAAAAAAATCAATAGACAATTCCTACACTGTATTACTTGTTGCTACAAATGATCATTCGTACACAAAAGGACATTTTAGGCAAAAATGTTTATGTTCTTATTTAAAAAAAGGAGTTGAATTATTGTTATTCTAACACTGCATAAAAAATGCACAGTTAAATAACAAATCTGCAGAATGTGCCAATTTCTTTATCTGATTAATTGTCAGAATAATCGATAGAATAGTTGATTCCCAAAACATCCAGCCCAAGTATGAACCAACCTGGCGCCGTCCGTGCTGTCAAGGTGAGTCTAGCTGGCAGGCTGTTGCTCTTCATCTTGTCTGCGGGTGTAATGGTGCCATGTCTCACTCCCGTCCTCACTGGTCCGTGACTGTTGCTGGGCGCGCCGCTGGGCCGGAAGACGACGGCAGGCTGCGTCTCCCGCTGCTTCTTCAGCTCTTCCTCCCTCTGCTGAGCGGCTCGGATCTCCTCCTCAATCATGGACAAAGTTTTCTGCTTTTTAGAGCGCAGGCGGAACGGGCCTTGAGCCGCCGCTTCCACCTCGGGGCCTTTAGACGCCGCCGCCGTGCTGCGGAGCTCAGCCGCCTCAGAGTACTTACTGAAGTAGCTGAACTCCGGCTTCTCCGGGCTCGGAGGAGATGGGGGGCGGTAGACGGGGGTCGGCCTGGGGACGTGAGCCGGAACAGGAGCGGGAGCGGGAGCGGGGGTCGGAGCTGGAGCCGAGGAGGCGAGCGCCCGCGTGTAGGACGACTGGATTTTGATCCGTGGGCCTCCGTTTCTGGGCCTCTGCGGTGGGGAAACGGGCTGGGAAGGCGGAGGAGAAGGAGTCTGGAGCTGGGAAAGTCGGGATGAGCTGGAGGACTCCGACGCCACTCTTTCACCAGACTGTGTGTCCGGCTGCGGGGACGGGATGGACGGCGCGGGACTGGAAGACGCAGGCGACTGGAAGCTGGGAGCTCCAGTAGAAGACACAGGTGAGGATGAGACTGGCACTGGGCTGCTTGTGGAGGCAGAGGATGGAGACACCGGGCCGCTAAGTTGGGAGGAGTTCAGCTCACCTCCATTCTGAGCGGCGAGAGCGCTCTGGATGGCGTTTTGGACCAGGACCCCGGCGTGGAACTCCAACTCGTCTTCGTTTGGGCCGCCGCCGGCGCTCTGCCCGTTGACCGGAGTTGTGGGCTGAGGGGTGGGCGGCGATACTGGGGTGAGTGGTAATGGAGTCGGGGGTAGAGACGCCCCGCTGTCTGAAACATTATCCAAACTGAAGAGAGTCGTGTCCTGAGAGCGGACGGACAGCTCATCCAACCCAGAGTCAAACTCTTCTGGGTGGAACGGTTGGCTGAGATCTTTTCCTTCGTCCTGCTCCGGCAGGATCGTCATCACGGCTCGGGCGCAGGTAAATTCTTCTGCCAGCCCCTCATCAGACCACGTCACGTGAGTCTCTCCGGTTTCTGCAACAAACTCGCTGATGCCTGGGCTGCTCCTGGTTCCCGATTTACAGAAAGGTTTGGCAGAGTACAATTGAGGAGTTATGCTCTTCTTGGCAGCGTCTCCCTGCAGAAACTGCTTCCTGGCAGATGAGAAATCAATCTGCTCCTCCAGAATGTCCTCCTTCCTGGTTACATCAGGATCAAAGGTCACCATCGTTGGGGGACCGGACATGTGGGGCTGCGAGAAGACATTAGAAACATGGCAGCGAAAATGAGATGAAAACTAAAGCCATCACAAGCCATCAGCTTTTTTCATACTACAACACATTACAACTGGAAACTATGGAGAGAAATTTGTTCTAATATTATTGCAAGCAAATTAATTTACAAACTGAAATTTGGAAAAGAAAGCATTTCAAAAATAAAACTTTGAAAATTTGCAATGTGTGTACAATAGTTGAACCTACATTAATGCAGTTTCCTGTTTTGTCAGATTTTTTTTTAATAATTATTTTATTTTTGAAAAAAATAGTTGAGCCTACATGAGTGGAGTTTGCTGTTTTTCTCAGATTTTATTTTTTCAAATTATTTTCTGCATGTTGTGTGTGTGTGTGTGTGTGTTACCTGAGCATATGGATAGGGATGATTTTGTTTCCGCTGCTTTCTCTCCTGATATTTCTTTAGAGATTCCAACTGGTCTCCGTCCAGCTGCTCTTCCAAAGGCACCTTAAATGATTAAACAGCCCGACAACTGATAAATCAACCTGTCAGGGGGTCATAGGTCATAGAAAACCAAAGACAGAGGGCTGCAGTCTACCTCCTGAGGAGGATTCCACCAGCGCTGTGCAATCCCAGGGTTCTTCTTGACTGCCTGGTCTTTGATCAGCTCCTGGCGCTCGCGCTCCAGTTCCTGAACCTGGACAAGAAGAGCAGTTTTTGAAAAAAAGTGTGTGAATATAAACACATTAAGTTGTAATGATTTTAATTCATGATTGGAAAAGGAAAAAGTGTTCTACTCAAAGAAAAATGTATCAGAGAAAAACCCAAACAGCACACCAGAGTGTACTTTAGCTGTGGTAGTGGATCAACTACACACGACACACATTACCTCCTCTGACGGTCGCCTCCTCGTCACCCTGACCTGCTGCTCCTCTCCCGGTGTGAAGAGTTTTGCTGGTCGTCTCTCCTCCTGAAACGCTCGCAACTCAAACTTGACCGCGCCGTGCCCCGACTCATCTCCCTGGACGTGACCGTTAGTTCTTACGGCGGACTCCCCGCCGGGGAACATGCTCGACCTTTGCTCCTCCACAGTGATTGATTGGCGATTGTCAGAGACACACACAGAAGAAGATGTGCCGTTGATACTGATTGGTTTTTTATGCTCTGACAGGGAGGGGTTTCCATTGGTGGGAGTCTCTGAAGCTGCGTCCAGCACCTGGTCCAGGTAGCAGATCTCCTGTGAACACATAAAGTGAAGAAAATTATATTTTACAGGCAGAAATGGGAAAGTAGACATTTTGATGCAGAATATAGCATATCTTAAATTGTACAAATATGTATCTTTTAGTCATATTATTTCAAATAATTTGGACACAAAAAAATGCATTTAAATTGAAAAAATAAATTGAACAAAACTAAGACATGAAATAAAAATGAAGAAATATTCCAGGCATGTTTTCTTAAATCAATCAGCATTTTAACAAAATGAAAAGTAAAAATTCAAAACATTTGACTATAGAACTCTGGAATTTCGAAATACTTATTTTACACCAGCAATCATCCAGCAATCGTGGATGATGGTTTTTACAAAATAGATGAAATAAAAGCAGCATACTTGCATCACCTCGCTGTCTGGCGTCTCCGCTTCCACAACTACACTCTGGCCTTGGTTGCTGGGGCTTCTGAGACAGCCATGTTGGATCTGCTGGCTCTCCAGCTCCATGTTTGCAGGCCTGTCAGTGATAACGCTGACTGATTCCTGGAAACTGACACTCTTCACGGCTCGCTCTCTTGGTGAAGCGTCAGTGGCATCCTCGGCTGCCCACCAAGGGTTCTGTGTTGGCAAACAAACAGCATGTGCTTCAGAAGGTAGCTTAGTCACAACAATTCAGGCTCAAAGACAACAGTCAAATCAACTTAGCAAGAAGATTAACTTCTGACTTTTCCCTGGACCCTCTAAGAAAACACACACACACACACACACTTCCTGTGTGTGTCAATCTGCATTGCAGCAGGAAAGTGTTTAATCCTCTGCTATCCTATAGTGCATTGACTGGCACCGACCACTAGAGGGCACCAATCACACGCTGATGCATCAATTGTCTCAATCAAAAAGGCATTTCTAAACTGGTATAAAACAACTTGGGAAAATGATGTGTAACATTTTCCTAAATCTAACAAAAGTCTTAGAAAACTTGGACAAATGCGAGAGACAATAATGATGCTTATCCCTAGAAGTGACTCATGTTTTTAGTGCCGCCTGGTATTATTGTGCTGTATTTTACTGGAATTTTATAAAATACAGAAAAAAAAAAAAGTTAAAATAAAAGAAAAATATGACATACTTTTTTCATTTTTCTTTCACAGATAATCTGAAAAACATTTCAGGGTGGACATTTGTATTCAGAAAAAGCTTTACACATGTACAACCTGACATTTTGGACCATTTTTCTTTGCAAAACACCTGATTGTTGAGATTGACTGGACATAATCTGTTAATAGCAAATAAGTCCCACCACAGAATACTAATTCAACTTAGGGTGCATTCACACCCGCCCTGTTTAGTCTGCTTTAGTCCGACTCCAGTTCTGACTAAAACTGATTCATTTGGGGAATTTGTGAATGCATAATCAAACTCTGATGTCGACCAAAAAGAGCGAAGTCTGATTCACCAAAACCAGAGGTATTGATTCCCTTAAGTGAACTGTGTCAACGTTCAAATGCACATATGAATGCAAGCGGATCAGAGACGGCTCCAAAAGCAGGAAGTGAACTGTAGCACAGGGCATTCTGGGTCAATATAGAAAAAACAAACACGAGAGTCTAGACCTAGAAGAAGAAATGGCTTGTGGTCTTTTGGCAAAAACTAAAGAGAAATCCTATAACAACTACAATCTGAAGCCACTACATTTTTGTTTACATTTTGCGAAGAAGGAAGTTGCGCTCATGTCTTCTTCTGAGGTTTTCGTCTCGTGTCCTTCAGTGTTTTTTGGTGCAGTGCCACCACAGGTGATGTGAAAGTGGACCACACCAACTGAAAATGTAACAAATGTTGCCATTTTGGTCTCCAATCAAATCGACTCTACCGGACTATCAGGTGTGAAAACATCCTTAGTTCTCAACTTTGACTCCAAACCTTCCATTGAGTTTAAAGTTTTTGTGCATCCCCACATCATAATGCTGAAACCACCATGCTTCACCATAATGATGGTGTCTCCATGGTGATGTCCTGCGTAAGGTTCCCATCACATGTTTGCTCCTATGTCAACAGACCATCTTCTTGGCTTTCTTTCCACAATTGCAAAATATTAAGATGTGTGACTCATTTTTAAATCGCTGTATTATGTGTAGCTAATGTTTCACTTTCACTGAGATTTTCCAGGAAAGTAAGCCGCCCCGGAATCAGAGCTCCTGGTTCAGTGACCCATCCATACCAAACATTCCTGCCCTGCTGTTCAACAGCAGCTACATTTACACACTCCTGTGTTTATGACCCGTCTCTTTGTTCTTCTGAGGGTCTCTGACAAATAATCTATTGCCCTCTGCTTTTTAAAGGTCTTTGCACCAACTGCTTCTTCCGTAAGCGTGTGTCTATCTCAAAGAGAAGCTGTTAACCTTTGTGTTTCCAACTTTTGAAAGTGTGTGTGGAGATTAATGAGGGTCACTTGAGTAAATTGGCTCACCCTTCAGTTAAAGCATGCAGCGGCATAGGAAAGTGGTGTTTGCAGCTATTTGAGCCTCTAACAGAACCAGTGACAGAGTGGACTGGGACTTATCATCAACCAGAGGGGTAAATCTAGGTCATTTTCATTATGTAGCCCTTCTCTGCCCGCCTGAATCCCCTCAATCCTCTTTTTGCATCTTTTCCTTCCTCTTGTGCTTCCTCTTGCCACAGAAACAGAGACAGCAGCCAAGGAGTCACATGGTGGATTATGGCAGCCTGCTTGCTGCAAAGGACTTCTTGTCTGTCTCATAATCAGGCAAATATTTTTTTCTACACTTCGGTGTGGTCTTCTCCACCCTCCCCTGAGAAAAAATGTGGGTTTGAAAGTATTTTGCTCACTTATTTAGCTCAGTCCCATAAAAAAAATACTTATTTGGTTCTTTTGAGATAAATACACCAGCACATTGTGTCTATTTTCCATTAGACTTAACAAACTTACAAAGATGTCCAACAAATCATTGTCTCTTATCTTTTACAGGATGGCTTGAATTTCAGTCTAAAGTGAGCTTGGACGCTCCATGGCATTTGAAAAATGTGCCTCTATAATTGTAATAATTGATTCTCTGCAGATATCAGGGAATCTTAAAGTTATAGCACACTCTCATATCTCTGAATGAAGTGCTGCAGATTACTGAACAGTTTTTTTTAAAAGCATATGAAATGCATATGCTATCTGGAACTAGCAGAAACATCAATGAGTCCTATCAAAAGAGAGAGTAAGCACGCTAGCATTAGCCCAGCACTTCAGGAAATGTCACAGCATAAAAACATCCAAAGGAGCAATTTATTGAAGAATGTAGCCAGTTGTGTGTGTTGAGTAAGATTCCTTTATAAACACATTTTTTACAGTAACATTACAGTAGATTTGTCAAGTGAGTTAACCTCTTGTTGCAGAATTGTATGGCTCTTTTCAATGTTTTGAGTATTTTTAGAACCACAACACACTTGAACAATTACTACATTGCTTTTAGTAAAGGGTCAAAATATGACACAAATACAGAAACAGCCAAACACTCGACTAAAATCACCAAGTAGGGGAACACAGCTTTAAAAGTCAATACCATAGCATAATGACTCGCTGTGGACAAGATAGCAAGGAGAGTTGCAGTAATTCACAATGCAAATCCTGGATGTATGCAGACACAAATGGGGAGCAAGGAGAATTTTGGGTGAACCAAATACTTGATTACTGGATGCAACACAGGTGAGTAAACGAGTAGATAGGAAGCATCTGAACAGAAGGAGGAAGCTGAGCCACTAGTGATATAAAAAGCAACACCAGTGACTAACAACAGCGCAGCAAAATGAAACATATCTGGAACATTTCAACCAAAACAATCAAACTAAACTCAAAGTCCAATTGATATCTTTGAGTTTTAATAAGCTTTTACCAACATTTTAGAGAAACAGCTGTCAGATTAAAGCTGAAAACTAGGAATACATGATTTTTTTTTTACTATTCCCAGTTTCTTTGTCTTCAAGTCTCTCAGTTTTGCCTTTAAACAAGTCAAATAATTTTTCACTGTTAATTATGTCATTGATCATATGAGGACCAGATGTAGTCTCTAATTTCACACTCCCATCGAGCTCACCGTATATGCGACACATGCATGTGTGTCCACGCAGGAATGTGTGTGTTTGTGCAAGTGTAGGAGTGTGTGTCCAGCAGACAGAACAGAGTGGGAGGATATCCTTTTACTGCCTCAGGAAAACAGAACTAAAGTACAGGAATGTCTCCTATGCAACACAATTCTGCTTCAAATGCAAGACTGAAAAAAGGGTGGATGTGACTGCACAGCGGTGCATCCACATCAGTGTGTGTACTTATACATGAGGTGTGTGTTGGTATGGTTTTTGCTTCACACTGAGGTGAACACACATTCCAAGCATAGCTTGCTGTCCTCAAGGCGCAGACTTTAATTCTTGTAATGAAGGACAATGTTAACCCTTCTTGTCCAAGGAAAGTCAACAAGGCGCATTTCTGAGTGTGAGGATGGGTACAAAAGAAAGTAAGTGCAAGTAAAAGTAAAACCGATCCTCTGCAGAGCTGTTATCAGGGAGGACTTTCATTGGTATAAAAAAGGGTGGAACTGGGTGAATTATGTGAAAACACATACCAAGCACTGTTAGTCAATCGTGGATGTTTCTGAGCCTGCTGAGCTCTAACTCTACAAGTTGTCTCCATTCAGAACATCTGGAAATGCTTACACTCTGGCCGTCATGCACAAAAAACTCCGGCAAACACACAGACACATAAACACAATGTCAAAACATACGCGCTAAGCTGCATACTTAGAGAAGACATCCAAATCCACCCTGACCAGAAATAAAAGTCACATAAGCAGGGATTGTGGGTTTCTCTATAAAACTTTCACTTCAATAAGATACAACCTTAACTTTAGATACCACAAACAGTCTTCTATATTAGCTTAAATCTGACGATTTGGATTTTAAAACTCTGACTTCAGAATAATCACTCCTGTGTCAAGCAAGTACAGTTGGTTCCTGGCTCTGTTTCTTGGATAAATACAATCCTGTGGAGTAACTGGACCTGTCTGCAGGTTTGGCCTCCCCTTCTCAGATTCAAGCAGCCTGGACTGTGAACTCTGAGCAAACACAACTATCCTGTGCGTATTCATGACATCAATGAGTATAACCTAGAATCAGTTTTTTCATACAATATTTAAGTTCAGTGACATTTTAGCATCAAGATCAAAATACTGTAGATTGCATGTATTGCACATTAGTCCTCTTCAATAAATATTGTCAAAATAGTGCCAAAAAATAAATAAATAAAAGATTAATCCTCACCTGTTGCTCTCAAAAACACAAACAGATTAATCTATTTCAACAAAGTCAGCTTTGGATCCATGTTACAGCAGAACAATCATTTCTACCATTAGTGTGTCTTCTTCTCGTAATCGTTATCCGTTTTCCTATTCGGTTCTGTCCACTTGGGTCCAGCCCTGATCCGTCCTGTTCCAGATTGCGGGAGCACTGGACTTTTCCGCGGCCAAGCCTTTTCCTCTCCCTCTTCCCCTCCTTTTCCTCCCCTCCCGTCTCTTTCCTCTCCTCCACAAAGCCTCTCCTTTCTGAGCGGCATTCCTGTC